CAAAATGAACCTAAAAGGGATAAATCTCACTTCACAAAGAAAGCATTGCGCTTTTCATCGCTCCATGAGTTATCCATCTATCTAGAAGTTGGGTTTACCTCGTCAAGGACAAAAATGATATGCAAGTGAGGTGTGTGAGGGAGTATACACAAAATTAACACATGAAAATAATAAAGTAACAAAATAATAAAAAAAAACTTACAAGATACTCTATGCCACCTACAAAACAAAAGTTTGAAAAACCTCAAAATTAAAGTATAAATGGCTTGACCCTTCAATGTCCCCAGTGGAGTCACCAAACTGTTGACGTGCCAAAATGGATGGAGTCGTCATCTATCCAAATGAGGTGGGATAGATCACCAAGGTCTTTGTAAAAATTGACTAGGTTCGGAGGGTCGGTTAACCATGGGGAAGGTGTTAGGCACCCCACAACTTCCATATAAATATGGTTACCAAATACTTTAATTTTGAGAAATTTCAATTTTTATGAAAATAATAATTACCAAGAACATAAAACAAGAAAAAAAAAAACAAGAAATAAAATAATAAAAAAAACATTGTTGCCCTTTTCCCGTTTCTGCTTTTTTTTATTCTATTTCTTTTGTTTCAATTTTTTTTTATTTATCAATAATAACTATCCCAGAAAAAAGTCAAAACCATTACTGTTCATCGTCCTCTACCTTTTTCCCCTTTCCCGTTTCTTTTGTTTCTTTTTTCGTTTCTGCTTCTTTTCATTCTTTTCTTTTTTTTTTGCAGCTTTCCTCTACTCTCGTTTCTTTTTTTTTTCCTAATGTATTCTAAAGAACAGCAAGTCCCAGAAAAGATAACAGCTTCTAAATGACATCCTAAATGATGGTAATTGATTTTATTGGTTCAACAAGGAAACAGCCATGAAACCCAGTGACGAACAGGACTTGGGACAAACAAATAAAGGCTGAAACTATGTATACAACAAGAATATACCCAATAAAAATTTCCTCTAGATTAATATTAACAAATAAAATTAGGTATCAATTAACAAGCATGCCAATCAATAAACTGCCAAGACAAGAAGAAAGCAAGTCTTTTATTGATGAGTCGAGCTTGCTTGGTCGAGATGATGTCAAGAATGAAATAATCAGCCATTTGTTGTATGAGACTAGCAAAGAAAGAGAGGATAGCCCAATCCAAACCATCTCTGTAGTAGGGATTGGAGGTATTGGTAAGACTGCTCTCGCCCAACTGGTCTACAATGATGAAAATGTTAAACAACATTTTACTTGTAGAGTCTGGACTTGTGTTTCAGACATTTTTGATGAGAGCAAAGTTGCAAAATCAATAATTGTGGGGCTTCAAGGCCTAGATAAACTAGCAATCCTCCAGTTGGAGTCAGTTCCATTAGATGCTCTTTTAGATAAAATTTGCAAGTCCATAGAGGGAAAGAAGTACCTTCTTGTTCTAGATGATATATGGACAGAAAAAGATAAAGACTTTGAAGGACTGAATGCTACTTTCAAATGTGGTGATCCGGGGAGTAGGATTTTGGTGACTACACGTAAGAGTACTGTCGCAACAATTATGGGAAGTTCACACACCATTCAATTAAATAATTTGAGCCGAGAGATATGTTGGTCTATCATTAGGAATATAGCACTAAGAGGAAAGGACCAAAGGACTTGTGAGGAGTTCAAGCCTATTGGGTTGAAAATTGCAGAAAAGTGCAAAGGTCTGCCGCTTGTTGCAAAGACTTTGGGAGGTCTCTTGCGGTTTAAAACTGGTATACAAGGGTGGGAGAATGTTTTGAATAGTGAGCTGTGGAGAATGGAAATGGTACAAAAAGATGTTTATGTTCCTTTGTTGTTGAGTTATTATGATTTGCCCTCATCAGTAAGACAGTGCTTTACGTATTTAGCTGTTGCTCCTAAAGACAAGCGTTTTTATGTTTTTGATTTGATTTCACACTGGATGGCACAAGGTTTCTTAGACTTTGATGATGATGATGATTCACCGTTGGAACTAAAAGGCTTTGAATACTTTCAATGCTTAAAGGCTCACTGTTTCTTCCAAGATTTTGAGTATAAACATGAACACCTTATCTGTAAGATACATGATTTGGTACATGACTTTGCTCTCTTTTTGACAGGGGGTGAGTTTATGACATTGGAGATCTCCAAAGGTAATACATGTTCAACGATGAACAAAGAAAGAACTCCTCGACATTTGACAGTGATGGTAGAAGAGGGTCTCTATTGTCCTGAATTCATTCCTAATGCAGAAAAATTGCGCAGTGTTGTGGCTCGTGGTAATAATATTCGTGAGGATTGTGCTCCAATCAGTGAAAAGGCCATGTGTAATTTGTTTAATCAAGCTAGACGCTTAAGGGCAGTGTTTATGGTTCGAAATGTTGCTTCAACTCTTCCAGAGGAAATAGGAAACTTATTGCATTTGAGATACCTTAACTTGGCTCTTAACAGCAATCTTAAAAAGTTGCCAAAAGCACTCTTCAGATTACACAATTTGGAACATTTAAATTTGTATTCCTGTTTTAATCTTGAGAGATTGCCTGATGAGATAAGAAATTTAGTGAACTTGAGGTTTCTTTGTACAACAGGTTGCCTCAAATTAGCTAGCTACCCAAAGGGAGTTGTGAAATTAACTCGACTCACACAATTAGTGGGACTCATTTTGAGAGTTGATCGTGACGATCCTGAAGAGTTTA